GTGGTGGTAGTAGTGGTAGTAATGATGATGGTAGTTGTAGTACTGATAATGGTGAAGATGACCGTTATTTAGTTATAAGTTAGTTATAGTTTCATTTTCCATATTTAGATTTCTATATTTATTATATTTATACTATTGACTGTTACCATTTTATTGTTGTTATTTATTTATTATTATTTACTACCATTTTTTATTATTATTTTTTATTATTTATTATTTTATTACAATGTACAGTGGGGAATAAAAGTATTTAGTCAGCCACCAATTGTGCAAGTTCTCCCACTTAAAAAGATGAGAGAGGCCTGTAATTTTCATCATAGGTACACGTCAACTATGACAGACAAAATGAGAAAATTTTTCCAGAAAATCACATTGTAGGATTTTTAATGAATTTATTTGCAAATTATGGTGGAAAATAAGTATTTGGTCAATAACAAAAGTTTCTCAATACTTTGTTATATACCCTTTGTTGGCAATGACACAGGTCAAACGTTTTCTGTAAGTCTTCACAAGGTTTTCACACACTGTTGCTGGTATTTTGGCCCATTCCTCCATGCAGATCTCCTCTAGAGCAGTGATGTTTTGGGGCTGTCGCTGGGCAACACAGACTTTCAACTCCCTCCAATGATTTTCTATGGGGTTGAGATCTGGAGACTGGCTAGGCCACTCCAGGACCTTGAAATGCTTCTTACGAAGCCACTCCTTCGTTGCCCGGGCGGTGTGTTTGGGATCATTGTCATGCTGAAAGACCCAGCCACGTTTCATCTTCAATGCCCTTGCTGATGGAAGGAGGTTTTCACTCAAAATCTCACGATACATGGCACCATTCATTCTTTCCTTTACACGGATCAGTCGTCCTGGTCCCTTTGCAGAAAAACAGCCCCAAAGCATGATGTTTCCACCCCCATGCTTCACAGTAGGTATGGTGTTCGTTGGATGCAACTCAGCATTCTTTGTCCTCCAAACACGACGAGTTGAGTTTTTACCAAAAAGTTATATTTTGGTTTCATCTGACCATATGACATTCTCCCAATCCTCTTCTGGATCATCCAAATGCACTCTAGCAAACTTCAGACGGGCCTGGACATGTACTGGCTTAAGCAGCGGGACACGTCTTGCACTGCAGGATTTGAGTCCCTGGCGGCGTAGTGTGTTACTGATGGTAGGCTTTGTTACTTTGGTCCCAGCTCTCTGCAGGTCATTCACTAGGTCCCCACGTGTGGTTCTGGGATTTTTGCTCACCGTTCTTGTGATCATTTTGACCCCACGAGCCCCAGATCGAGGGAGATTATCAGTGGTCTTGTATGTCTTCCATTTCCTAATAATTGCTCCCACAGTTGATTTCTTCAAACCAAGCTGCTTACCTATTGCAGATTCAGTCTTCCCAGCCTGGTGCAGGTCTACAATTGTGTTTCTGGTGTCCTTTGACAACTCTTTGGTCTTGGCCATAGTGGAGTTTGGAGTGTGACTGTTTGAGGTTGTAGACAGGTGTCTTTTATACTGATAACAAGTTGAGAATTTTCTTCTCCAGAAAATCACATTGTAGGATTTTTAATGAATTTATTTGCAAATTATGGTGGAAAATAAGTATTTGGTCACCTACAAACAAGCAAGATTTCTGGTTCTCACAGACCTGTAACTTCTTCTTTAAGAGGCTCCTCTGTCCTCCACTCGTTACCTGTATTAATGGCACCTGTTTGAACTTGTTATCAGTATAAAAGACACCTGTCCACAACCTCAAACAGTCAAACTCCAAACTCCACTATGGCCAAGACCAAAGAGCTGTCAAAGGACACCAGAAACAAAATTGTAGACCTGCACCAGGCTGGGAAGACTGAATCTGCAATAGGTAAGCAGCTTGGTTTGAATAAATCAACTGTGGGAGCAATTATCAGGAAATAGAAGACATACAAGACCACTGATAATCTCCCTCGATCTGGGGCTCCACGCAAGATCTCACCCTGTGGGGTCAAAATGATCACAAGAACGGTGAGCAAAAATCCCAGAACCACACGGGGGGACCTAGTGAATGACCTGCAGAGAGCTGGGACCAAAGTAACAAAGCCTACCATCAGTAACACACTACGCCGCCAGGGACTCAAATCCTGCAGTGCAAGACGTGTCCCCCTGCTTAAGCCAGTACATGTCCAGGCCCGTCTGAAGTTTGCTAGAGTGCATTTGGATGATCCAGAAGAGGATTGGGAGAATGTCATATGGTCAGATGAAACCAAAATATAACTTTTTGGTAAAAACTCAACTCGTCGTGTTTGGAGGACAAAGAATGCTGAGTTGCATCCAACGAACACCATACCTACTGTGAAGCATGGGGGTGGAAACATCATGCTTTGGGGCTGTTTTTCTGCAAAGGGACCAGGACGACTGATCCGTGTAAAGGAAAGAATGAATGGTGCCATGTATCGTGAGATTTTGAGTGAAAACCTCCTTCCATCAGCAAGGGCATTGAAGATGAAACGTGGCTGGGTCTTTCAGCATGACAATGATCCCAAACACACTGCCCGGGCAATGAAGGAGTGGCTTCGTAAGAAGCATTTCAAGGTCCTGGAGTGGCCTAGCCAGTCTCCAGATCTCAACCCCATAGAAAATCATTGGAGGGAGTTGAAAGTCTGTGTTGCCCAGCGACAGCCCCAAAACATCACTGCTCTAGAGGAGATCTGCATGGAGGAATGGGCCAAAATACCAGCAACAGTGTGTGAAAACCTTGTGAAGACTTACAGAAAACGTTTGACCTGTGTCATTGCCAACAAAGGGTATATAACAAAGTATTGAGAAACTTTTGTTATTGACCAAATACTTATTTTCCACCATAATTTGCAAATAAATTCATTAAAAATCCTACAATGTGATTTTCTGGAAAGAAAATTCTAATTTTGTCTGTCATAGTTAACGTGTACCTATTATGAAAATTACAGGCCTCTCTCATCTTTTTAAGTGGGAGAACTTGCACAATTGGTGGCTGACTAAATACTTTTTTTCCCCACTGTATATTTATGTTTTTTTATTTTCCCTTTTGTACTTTAACTATTTGCACGTCATTATAACACTGTATATAGACATAATATGACATTTGAAATGTCTTTATTCTTTTGGAACTTCTGAGTGTAATATTTACTGTTAATGTTTATTGTTTATTTCACTTTTGTTTACTATCTACTTCACTTGCTTTGGCAATGTTAACATATGTTTCCCATGCCAATAAAGCCCTTAAATTGAATTGAATTTGAATTGAATTGAGAGAGAGAGTGAGAGAGAGAGAGGGAGAGAGAAAGAGAGAGAGAGAGAGATTGTGTGTGTGTGTGCGGGAGTGAGTGCTTGCGTGTGTTTGTAACCTCACCACCTCACTCAGTGACTTACCTGCTTCTCCCACAAACACTTCCTGTGGTGTGCTGCTTGGTCCTTCCCCTACGGCGTTATACACACTCATCCTGATCTCATAGCGCTTGTGTTTGCTCATGTCTGGGGAACAAGGAACAATACTGACATTAACCAACAACCCACCACCACCACAATATTTAATTTAACTTTTATTTAACCAGAAAGGACCCTATTTTGTGTGAACAAAATCAACAAATGTATTTTCTGGCATGTTATGCAGCAGTTAAAATCTATCCAAGGAAGTAATTGAGTTGTTATTGCGTACTGGAAAGCAATACCCTGAAATATGTGATCGTCTGGTATTCTGCTGCTTAACTAAACAAATACAAGTTCATGAGCCCATGAAACTTGGACTGGACAAGCAAGTCTACCGGCGATTCCTATTGAAAATACCACATAGACAGAAGACAGAGCGTCTTTAAATCAGGGCCCACGTAGTGGTCTGTTTGAGCTCACTGTCAGAACACAAACTAAGCATGTGGCAACGACTCCATTAGACTCCGTTTCACTCTGCATTTCCACATGACTCCAACTCAAGGCAGCTGACTATATCATCTGCATGGCTAGAGATAACACACTGACTAACCTATTTTTGCTTTATGACTAAATTGTGTGTGAGTGTGTGTGTGTGAGTGATGTGAATGTGTATGTGTATGTTCAGCAGTGAGACAGAGTGTGTATCATCAGCAGTGAGACAGAGTGTGTATCATCAGCAGTGAGAGAGTGTGTATCATCAGCAGTGAGACAGACTGTGTCTCATCAGCAGTGAGACAGACTGTGTCTCATCAGCAGTGAGACAGACTGTGTATCATCAGCAGTGAGACAGTGTGTGTGAGACAGAGTGTGTGAGGCAGAGTGTGTGAGGCAGAGTGTGTGAGGCAGAGTGTGTGAGGCAGAGTGTGTGAGGCAGAGTGTGTATCATCAGCAGTGAGGCAGAGTGTGTGAGGCAGAGTGCGTGAGGCAGAGTGTGTTTCATCAGCAGTGAGGCAGAGTGTGTGAGGCAGAGTGTGTGAGGCAGAGTGTGTGAGGCAGAGTGTGTGAGGAAGAGTGTGAAGCGCAGGCAGGCCTGTGAGGACTTACTTCCCAGCTCATACTGGGTGAGAGAGGACGCGCTCAGGTTTCGCACACTGTAGGGGGCTGTGAGGGAGCAGGGGGATAGAAGAGAGAGGGCAGTAGAGAGAGGGGAGTAGAGGAGAGGAGAGACATGTTACTGTGTTAGTACCGGAGCACTAAGTCAAAGTCCGAAAGGCTCCTGAACAGCTTCTAACCCCAAGCCATTAGACTGCTGAACAGTTAATCATTTTTACGCTGCTGCTACTCGCTGTTTATTATCTATGTTATATATATAAACATGTGGCTAATATTTCTGCAAGAACCAGTGAAAAACCCACAGTCATAGAAACCCACACTCACTTAATCAAAGAGAAATTACACATCACACAGACATAGAAACCCACACTCACTTCATCAAAGAGAAATTAAACATCACACAGACAGAGAAAACAACACTAACTTCATCAAAGAGAAATTATACATCACACAGACAGAGCAGATAGAATAAGACTATTAGAAGGGACTGATTCTAAGAGGTGTAGTGTCAGGTGTCAGGCACAGCCAGTGTTACAGGAAGACGATATAGGAGGAATGTTTGGTACACTTTCTGATGGAGTTCTGTTTGGCCTTGTTGAGAGATGGTGGTTTATGTGAGGTTGTAGGGGCGTTGTGGGGAGGTTATGACCGTACTCACAGGTGAGCTCGGCCCAGTTATTGGAGGGGCTGTTGGCGGTGCGTACAGGGAAGCTGCGGAGGCGGTCGTATAGGAGCTCCCGGTAACGTATCCGGAAGCCCAGGAGGATACCGTTAATCTTCTCCTCAGACGGAGGCTGTGATGACAACACATAATGTTAGACTACCATTAGGCCATGTTCAACATAGTCGCTCTCACGGACAGTCATATTTACAAAGCCGAGCTAGCTAACTAGATATTTGATTAACAAGAATAATATATTTAATTTACAGCTCGCTTTTCATTGAAAGACAACAAAAGGCAAAAAAATAAAACATCTGGATTCCACTTTTGATAATCCCATGTATGGTCAGACCTCCCCGGCACAGGACTAAGATAAAGAGACAGGATTCAGAAATCCCCAGACAACCGGAGCTCATCCATGGCTGACTCACACAGAGAGAAATTCCCCTGTTGTAAAACAGGAGACAACAGGGCCAGAAGAAAGGGGAAAGAGAGGAGGGAGAGAGATAACAGGGGAAGGAGAGGAGGGAGAGAGAGAACAGGGGAAGGAAAGAAGAGTTTGGATGTCTCGGTGTTACACTCCTGCAGGCAATAACCTGGGAACTCTCCTTCTCCCCTTTATGACCTGCTAATTCAGGTGTTAGTGTTAGAGAGAGAGGAGAAAAAGGTGTGTTTCACTCAGTCTAAGTACACCCTATACACCGCGCTGCCCTCTCATTACCGCCCATTGACTGACAGATGACTGGGTTTTACTGCGGATAGGAAGACAGACATCAGGACCAATCACCACGTCACTTCTTACCCGCCAGCGAATCAGCACGGATGTAGTTGTGTGTGGTGTGACAGAGAGGATTGTGGGGGCTTCGTCAGGGGCTGGAACAGAAGGAGAGAAAATAACAAAGATTGAAAGTGAGGACAATTAGCTGAGTCTACCACTCAGGTGCAAATAACTAATGCAGTGGTATTCACAGTGTATAGACACACAACTAAAGAGAACAGGATTGGTAAACAAGTCAAATATGCCATGAGAATGATCTAAAGGAAGAACATTTCTTGAATTAAAGTTAGTTCTGCTCGGTTGACACTGTTTGGATGTAAGTGTTACACCCCCCCCCCCCCCCCCCCCGTCCCCCCCGGTCGCACAGCAACCACAGATGGTGAAGATGACATCACCTATTCTACTGCTGCCAATAGTTTCCTCACCACAGCAATACATTAACTCATCCTGACATTCTACTCAGGGAGGGATTGTAACCCAGCACCCAGCACTGATGTAAAACATACATTACAGAACCCCAGCCTAAGAAAAAAGTTTGTGTCAATGTGGCAAAACCAAGGACAATGAAGACCAAATCATGTGCGGATAATATGATGTCCACAAGGATCTTTATTTTCAATGCAGTAAGATACCACAACGTGAAAAGAGGTCAAGTCTCTTACCATCCTGTAGTGTGGTGATAGCTTCACTCTCCTCACTGTATTCACTGTCTCCTATGTCGTTGGTGGCTTTCACTCTAAACTGGTAGGAGGTGAAGGGCTTCAGCCTAGCATGGAGAGATGGAACACAGGACAACTTCATTCTCATTCGTCACAACATTTTTTTCAACTATTCAAGTTCCATCTAGGGCTAAGTGCAGCCTTTCCAAGCAAATCTCTCAAATATCTCAGCTCAAGGGTCTATACTGTGATAGGAAACTGTCTACTATGTACCTCTGTTAGTGCACTAGGTAGGGTGCTAGGTAGTGTGCCAGGTAAGGTGATAGGTTGGGTGCATACTGTACCTGCCAACTATGTAGGAGTCGGCCTCGTGATTGACCGAGGCAGAGTGGACGGTCCAGTTGCTGTCGGGCAGTTCTCTCAGCTGGACTGTATAGTAGCGGACCGGAGAGAGGCTGTCGCTGCCTGGTTCCCATGACAACAACACACTGCGGGTCTGAACATTCTCTTGGGGCACCATGGGACGACCGGTGGGCTGAGGGCGAGCTGGGGGGGGGGGGGGGGGAGAGAGAGGGGGGTTGATGAACTATGTTAAGTGTGAACTATGTACAACTTCTTATCAGGTTAAACAAATGACTTATACCATCCTCAAAAGGCTTTATCAATAGCCTACAGTACTCACTAACTTGAAGTGCTTGTGTAAACACACTAAACAAATTGCTTATTACTGCAGATGTAACCGGGCAGAATATGACTCATTAGAAACCAATGTGTTGAATCTGTAAACCATTATCAGATGAGATGAGTGTTTCTTCTAAACTCGTTGGAATTCTCTGTTGTTGACGGTAACTGACTGACTCAACCCTGTCTACACTCTAACACATGTAGACAATATTCTGTGGTACGCTCTATAAGTACAATAACTCATATGGTAATGTAACATAAAACTTGATCTAAGTACACAAAATATACAATCATTTCTGGAATGTCCTATAAGTTACAATAACTCATATACTATCACTTTTCCATATGTTTCCATTGTAACCTCACTTTTTGGTATATTCAATAAGTACAATAACTCATACACTAATGTGATATAATACTTCCTCTGGCATATCTTTCAATTCACGTTTACCTCTCTTCTCGGTGGTGACCACCAGTGCCTCTGCAGCCTCCCCCCAGCCCTTGCGTGTCTGGGCTGTGATGCGGAACACATACACTGACTCTTGTTTCAGGCCAGTCACCGTGTACTGACGAGCACTCGGGTTTAACACGTCCACTGTGGCCGTGTTGCTATTGGTCGAGTTCAGACGGTACGTGATCTGATAGGCTGAGAGGAGAAAAGAGAAAACACCACATGACAGCAGAGTCAGAGTCAGACACAAAATATATGATGATTAACCTTTAATGTCTGTCGACATTTCCTTCAAAACATATGATGATTAACCTTAATGTCTGTCAACATATCCTTCAAAAGATATGATGAATAACCTTAATGTCTGTCAACATATCCTTCAAAATATATGATGATTAACCATAATGCCTGTCAACATTTCCTTCAGAGGCTATGATGATTAATCTTCATGTCTTGTCAACATTTCCTTCAAAATATATGATGATTAACCTTAACGTCTGTCAACGCTTCCTTAAGAAGATATGATGATTAACCTTAATGTCTGTCAACATTTCCTTCAGAAGATATAATCATTAACCTTAATATCTGTCAACACTTCCTTCAGAAGATATGATGCAGTGTTTCCTCTGCGTTCATTTAAGTGTGGCGCTACGCCACGGCAGAATCATTGCCGCCACACCAAAAGAAACATCCTATTTCTACCAAAAATAGGTTCAATAAAGTTCTGTAAAGCACATCAGCTTTCTTGGTAAATAGATCATCTGTCTAGGTTCAACACAGTTGTGAAGGTTATTTAGCTCTGTGAGCTTCATGAGAGAAGGCAGTCAGTGCCAGTGCATGAGTGACCAGTGCTCGATAAAGAAGCTCTGCGGCGCTCCTGCGTGAGAAACTGCAAGAAAGGTACGCTATCTTGTTTGTTTGACTAACGTTAGCTAGCCAATTAGTTAACTACATAAGCTAGCTATAACCTAAAAACTCTACTAACATAATTTAGATCTATAATATTGCTGCCACAATTGTAACGGCAATTAGCTATCCAATATCCACAAGTATGTGATGATAGAATCATAGTTAACTGACGTTACTAGTGTCACGACTTCCGCCGAGGCTGCCTCCCCTCCTTGTTCGGGCAGGTTTTGGCGTTCATCGTCACCGGCTTACTAGCTACTGCCGATCCCATTCTCATCACTCCACTTGTCATGTCTTGTCTTGTCAATCACACACACCTGGTGCTCATTCCCCTAATTAGTATGTGTATAAGTGTTCCCTCTGTTCCCCTTGTCTTTGTGAGTGATTGTTTATTGTGAGAGCGAGTAGCTCGGTTGAGCTACTCTTCCATTTGTAGTTGCCAAGGTGGAATATTTTCCCTTGTTATAGTTTCGTTTCGACGCTGGGTGCGTTTTATTTATGTAAACTAAATAAACTCTGGACTTCGGTGTTTTACCTCCTGCGCCTGACTCCTTCATTCACACCTCGTCACAACTAGTCTAGCAAGTTAGCTAGCTAGTTTGTTTAGAACTGTATCAAGTGCAAGTAAGATAGCTACATTTATCTGTCTGTTTATTGAAATATTTCCAGCCACAGCAGCAAAAGAGAAAGGGGGAGCGGGGACAAGAGTGTCAGGTAATGTTAACTTAGCGAGCTAGCGTCAAATCAGCCTGAATTAAATGAAACTTTCTTCAGTTATGTAACGGTAGCTAACTCCGTTCCATACATATGTGGGCAACCGCGGCATTCAAATGAGGCTGCAATGAAAACTAATGGGACTGTAGCAACTGTGTAGGCATCAAAATACGGGGTGTGAACTAAGTTTCGATTCAGCATTGATTGACATAGTAATGTACCAATAGTATTGGAGAAAAGTTGAAAAAAACGGACCCTGCTGACGCTGTACGTTAAAGTGTGACATGTCACTACGTAATGTACGGCACGCATTATTCAACTCATTCTGTGCCGTACAGCCTCTTCCACCAGGTGTAGCACTTCTCTCGCAGATTAAAAACAAGAAATGATCAATGGTGAGTGTAAAGTTAATTACTTGTGAGTTCATCAATAGTTAATTCAATCAATTGTTAATTTTTTTTGTAATCATTGCGAGCCATCATGACTCTCAAAAACTGTGACACCCACAGTTTAATTATGAAAAATATAGTGTTTTATTTACATTTTAGAGGTGATAAGTTGGATAAATTGGGTGAAAAAAGCCGGTTCCCCACACGACTTATCTACCCCTTTCACTATGACGCAGTAGCATTCGCTTCCCCATCCGCCATTTTTATAAAGACCCCGGCGGAGCTCCATTGCTTTCTTCAATCATGCAGAGATGGGCAGCATGAAGGTCTTATTGACTTTGCTGGAAAGGGGAGAAATTGTGCTTTACAATGGTATTCATATTTCAGTTGACCTAGAAGTATTACGTTTTGGGGGGCGCTAAAATGAGGTAAAATGTACGGAACAGCACGATGTACAAAAGTGCGTTAGCTATCGTTAACTCTTTAAAAGCTTAAGCTATTGTTTATATAACAAGTGTATTGCTTACTTTACTAGACAGAGAAGAGGCAGAATCCCGGGAGTGAGGTATGTATGCATGAGGGACAGAATGGAGCAGAGGAGAGGAGAGAGCCAGGAGGGGAGATGGAAGGAGAGAGGAGAGAGGAGAGCAGAGAGGAACAGAGGAAAGGAGAGAGGAGAGAAGAGAGGAACAGAGGAAAGGCGAGAGGAGAGCAGAGTGGAACAGAGGAAAGGAGAGAGGAGAGCAGAGTGGAACAGAGGAAAGGAGAGTAGATAAAAGTAGAGGAGGAGGAGAGAGCAGTGAGGCCATGTGGAGAGGAGTAAGGCCATGTGGAGAGGAGTGAGGCCATGTGGAGAGGAGTGATGCCATGTGGAGAGGAGTAAGGCCATGTGAAGAGGAGTGAGGCCATGTGGAGATGAGAAGGCCATGTGGGAGGAGTGATCCATGTGGAGAGGAGTGAGAACAGTGGGAGGAGTGAGGCCATGTGGAGAGGAGTGAGGCCATGTGGACAGGAGTGAGGCCATGTGGAGAGGAGTAAGGCCATGTGGAGAGGAGTAGAGGCCATGTGGAGAGGAATAGGCCATGGGAAGAGTGAGGCCATGTGGGAGGAGTGAGGCCATGTGGGAGGAGTAGGCCATTGGAGAGGAGTAGGCCATGTGGAGAGGAGTAGGGCCATTTGCGCACCACCGGCAATCTGGATGGGACCAAAGTGGCTTAAAATTGACATATAACACGCCACTGGTAAGGTCAAATTTCCTTTAATTAGGCTTAGGCCTAAAAATGTTTGTGATTTAGTCTGTACTAGTCACGCATTATCAGAGAGATGACGTGTTTCTTCTAAAACTCGTTGGAATTCTTGTGTTGACGGTAAACTGGACGACTTCAACTGTCTACACTCATAAACACATGTAGACAAATTATTCGGTGGGTAGCTCTATACGTACAATAAACTCATATGGAAGGAACATAAAACTTGATTAGTACACATAAATATACAACTTCTGGCAGGTCCTATAAGTTAACAATAATCATTTACTATCACTTTCCATTTGTCAATGGTTGTAAACCTCACTGTTTGGCTATATCAATAAGTCCATATAACTCATACACAAGGTGATTTACTACGCTCCTCTGGGCAATCTCAATTTAACGTTTTACCCTCTCTTCTCGGTGGTGGACCACCACGTTGGCCTGCAGCATACCCCAAGCCCGTGGTGTCTGGGCTGTGATGCGGAACAAAACACTGATCTTGTTCGCGCAGTAACCGTTGTACTGACGCGCACTCGGGTTTAACACGTCCACTGTGGCCGTGTTGCTATTGGTCCGATTCAGACGGTACGTGATATGATAGGCTGAGCGGAGAAAAGAGGAAAACAATACAATGACAGCAGATCAGAGTCGAACCCAAAAATATATGATGATACCCTTTAATGTCGGTCGACATTTCCATTTCCAAAACATATGAGGATTAAACCTTAATGTCTGTCAACATATCCTTTCAAAGATATGATGAATACCTACGTCTGTCAACATATCCTTCCCAACTATATATGAAACCATTGCTGTCAACATTTCCTTCAGAGGCTATGGATTCATCTTCATGTCTGTCAACATTTCCTTCAAAATATATGATGATTAACTGAACGGCTGTCAACGCTCCTTAAGAAGATATGGATGATTAACCTAAGTCTGTCAACCTTCTTCAGACGCATATAATCATTACCTTAAATATCTGTCAACACTTCCTCAGAAGATATGATGCAGGGTTTCCTTGAGTTCATAAGGTGGCGCACGCCACGGAAGAAGTTGCCGCCACCCCAAAAGAAAAATCCTATTCTACCAAAAATAGGTGCAAAAAGTTCGTAAAGCAAATTCAAGCTTTTCTTGGTAAATAAGATC